CATCTGAAATTACTGCCCAGCATCACACACATTACTGTAGCATCACATTGCGCATCTGCGTACAGCATCACACAATGCTGGCATCACACATTACTGCCAGTTTCACACATTACCAGCATCACACATTACTGTAACTCACACATTACTGTTGCACTCCACACCCCCTTTACTGGCATCACACATTACTGTGGCATCACATTACTGTAGCATCACATTGAAGCTATCACATTACTGCGCGCATCACACATTACTTTATCACACGTGCCTGAAGCGTACACGTGCACAGCATCACATTACTGCCACATCACACTGTGGCATCACGTGCTGTGGCATCACGTACTGGCATCACATTGCTGTACCGCATCTGCATTGAGCGTCACACATTACTCGCTGGCATCACACATTACTGTGGCATCACACATTACTGAAGCATCACGTTGCTGTGGCATCACACGTGCTGAGCATCACGCGTACTGTGGCATCACGGTATAGCCAGCATCACACGTACTGCTGGCATCACACTACTGTAGCATCACCATTACTGTAGCATCACACATTACTGTAGCATCACACACACTGTAGCATCACACACACAGCATCACACATGTTGCATTACACATTACTGTAGCATCACACATTACTGTAGCATCACACATTACTGTAGCATCACACATTACTGTAGCATCACACACTTGTAGCATCACACAAGTGTAGCATCACATTACTGTAGCATCCTACTGTAGCATCCTGTGCACACACGTGTATCACACATTACTGTAGCATCACACATTGCTGGCATCACACATTACTGTTGCATACATTGCTGTAGCATCACACATTACTGTAGCATCACACTTGCTGTAGCATCACACATTACTGTAGCATCACGACGGCATACATTACTGTGCATCCATTCTGTGCATACACACTGGCATCACACTTGCATCACACTACTGTAGCATCACACATTACTGTGGCATCACACATTACTGTAGCATCACGTTACTGTAGCATCACACATTACTGTAGCATTACGTACTGTAGCATCACACATTACTGTAGCATCACACATTACTGCATCACGTACTGTAGCATCACACATTACTGTGGCATCACACACCTTACTGTAGCATCACATTACTGTAGCATCACACGTTACTGCAGCATCACACATTACTGTAGCATCACACATTACTGTAGCATCACACATTACTGTAGCATCACACATTACTGTGGCATTACACATTACTGTGGCATCACACATTACTGTTGCATTACACGTTACTAGCAGCATCACACATTACTGTGGCATCACACATTACTGTAGCATCACACATTACTGTAGCATCACACATTCGTACTGTAGCATCACATTTGGGCGTACGCATTTGCATCACGTTACTGTGCATCACACGTGCCAGCAGCATACAATTACTGTAGCATCACACATTACTGTAGCATCACACATGCTGTGCATTACACATTACTGTAGCATCACACATTACTGATCACACATGCCAGCATCACACATACTGAGCATCACGTCTGTACATTACTGTAGCATCACACATTACTGTTGCATCACGTACTGTAGCATCACACATTATGTGCATCACACATACTGTAGCATCACATTACTGTAGCATTACACATTCTGTTGCATACACATTCTGATCACACGTGCCAGCATTTGCTTATACATTACTGTATCACGTTTGGCATCACATTGCACACATTACGTAGCATCACACATTACTGTAGCATCACACATTACTGTAGCATCACACATTACTGTAGCATCACACATTACTGTAGCATCACACATTACTGTATCACACATTACTGTAGCATCACACATTACTGTAGCATCACATTACTGTAGCATCACACATTGCTGTAGCATCACACATTACTGTGCATCACACGTACTGTAGCATCACACATTACTGTAGCATTACACATTACTGCGCATCACACGTACTGTAGCATCACACGTTCTGTGGCATCACACATTTGTAGCATCACACTGCTGTGGCATCACATTGCTGTTGCATCACACATTACTGGCATCACATTACTGTAGCATCACACATTACCAGCATCACACATTACTGTAGCATTACACATTACTGTAGCATCACACATTACTGTAGCATCACACATTACTGTATCACACATTACTGTAGCATCACACTTACTGTGGCATCAGCATTGCTGTAGCATACATTCTGCAGCATCACACATTGCTGTGGCATCACACATTACTGCAGCATCACCACACTGTGGCATCACACGTTGCATTATTACGCTACACATTACTGTAGCATCACATTGCGAGCAGCATCACACATTACTGTAGCATCACGTCTTGGCATCACACATTATGGTCAGCATACCATTCTCTGCAGCATCACACATTGCTGGCATTACACATTCTGTAGCTATACGTCTGTGGCATCACGCATTGTACGCAGCATTACTATTGGCATCACGCATTGCTGTGCATCACACGTCTGTATCACATTGCGCAGCAGCATTACGTTGTGCATCACATTGCTGTAGCATCACACATTACTGTGGCATTACGCATTAATGTGGCATCACCGTGCTGTAGCATCACATTACTGTAGCGTACACATTACTATGGCATCACATTACTGTAGCATCACGCATTACTGTAGCATCACGCATTGGTTTGTGTGGTTTTGTGTTGGTTTGGTATTGCGCAGCAGCATCACACATTGCGCAAGCATCACACATTACTGTTGCATCACACATTACTGTAGCATCACACATTACTGAAGCATCACACGCATTACTGTAGCATCACATTATGTAGCATCACACATTACTGAAATCACACACTTGCTGTGCATTACACATTACTGTAGCATCACACATTACTGTGGCATCACACATTACTGTAGCATCACGTTACTGTAGCATCACATTATTGAGCATCCACATTACTGTGGCATCACACATTACTGAAGCATCACACATTGCTGTTGCGTCACACATTACTGTAGCATCACACATTGCTGAGCATCACATACTGGCATCTTTACTGTTGCATTACATTACTGTAGCATCACACATTACCAGCAGCATTACATTGCTGTGGCATCACACATTACTGCGGCATCACATTACTGTAGCATCACACATTACTGTAGCATCACACATTACTGTATCACACACATTACTGTAGCATTACACATTACTGTAGCATTACATTGCTGTAGCATCACACATTACTGTAGCATCACACATACTGTAGCATCACGTACTGTGGCATTACATTACTAGCATCACATTGCGGCATTACACATCACTGTATCACACATTACTGTGGCACCACGGTGACCACCAGAACAGTGTTATCTGGGATAGCCCACACCAAGGAAGGGTGTTTATCTAGCATGACCATGCTAGCATTAATTGTTACGTGAAGGTGCGTTATCTAGAGTGAGACCACACCAAGGAAGGGTGTTATCTAGAGGACCATTATCTAAGTAGTGTTATCTAGGAGTGACCACACCAAGGAAGGGTGTTATCTAGAGGACTCACACTAAGGAAGTAAGTGTTATCTTATAGTGACTATCAAGGAAGGGTGTTATCTAGAGCATCTCTTTATCATGAAGGGTGTTATTCTAGGAGTGACTTGCCACACCAAGGAAGGGTGTTATCTAGAGGACTATACCAAGGAAGGGTGTTATCTGAGTGACCACCAAGGAAGGTGTTATCAGAGTGACCTCACACCAAGGAAGGGTGTTATCTAGAGTGAACACACCAAGGAAGGGTGTTATCTAGGAGTGACCACACCAAGGAAGGGTGTTATCTTAGAGTGACCATACCAAGGAAGGGCAAGTTATCTTAGGAGTGACTATACCAAGGAAGTGTAAGCATCTAGAGGACTACACCAAGGAAGAGTGTTATCTAGAGTGACCACACTAAGAAGGGTGTTATCTAGAGTGACCACAATTGCTGGAAGGGTTTTATCTAGGAGTGAGACCACACTTCAAGGAAGGGTGTTATCTAGAGTGACTAAGGCTCAAGGAAGTGTGTTATCTAGAGTGACCACACCCAAGGAAGAGTGTTATCTAGAGTGACCATTGATTCTCAAGGAAGGTGTTATCTAGAGTGACCATTAATTGCTGCTGGTGTTATCTAGGAGTGACTATTAACCATGAAGTGTGTTATCTAGAGTGATCACACCAAGGAAGAGTGTTATCTAGGAGTGACCACACCAAGGAAGGGTACAGGACTACACCATGAAGGAGTGTTATCTAGAAAGTATCTCATGACAGTGTCTAGAGGACCACACCAAGGAAGTGTGTTATCTAGGGAGGACTATACCACAAGTGGGTAAGTATTCAGAGTGACCATGCCATGGTGTTAAAAGATTCAGAGCACACATGAAGCAAGGCCCAGAGGACCACACCAGAAGGGTGTTATCTAGGAGGACCACACCAAGGAAGTGTGTTAATCCAGGAGTGGACTGAATTCAAGGAAGGTGTTATCTAGGAGCGTGTACTATACTAAGGAAGGGTGTTATTCTAGGAGTGATCACATCAAGAAGGGTGTTATCTAGAGGACTATACCAAGGAAGCGGGGGTGTTATCTAGAGTGACCACCAAGGAAGGGGTGTTATCTAGAGTCACCAATAATTAAGGAAGGGTGTTATCTAGAGTCACTCACACTTAAGGAAGGGTGTTATCTAGAGTGACCACACCAAGGAAGGGTGTTATCTAGAGTGACCATACCAAGGAAGGGTGTTATCTAGAGTGACCACACCAAGGAAGGGTGTTATCTAGAGTGACCACACCAAGGAAGGGTGTTATCTAGAGTGACCATACCAAGGAAGGGTGTTATCTAGAGTGACCATGCCAAACATGGCAGGTTTTCTCTGGGTACTCTGATTTCCTCCCATACAAAACAACTGCCTGAATGGTTAGTAAGCTGACAAGTGGTTTAAATAATAAATTAAAAGTGGTTACCTATGGAAGAATGCTGATATACAGGAGCGTGGGTCCCTCTCCAGCTGCTTGGCTAACTCCAAAATAAACTGCATGCAGATGGTCTGGTGAGCAACATGGGACATAAGTTCTTGCTTCTCCTCCATCCCCAGGTTAATGCACCACACCACCAGGTAGTTGGCCGTGTCCTCACATGCCAACTGTGTGTGTTCCTGTATAAACATCATCACATCATACATTAATGATTATTATACATGTATTACTGTCTTGCACAACAAGTTATAATATTGATAAACCAAGAACTAAATACAATGTACAGATGATAAATGAACAATGATCAACTCTAGGTCAGTCTCAATTACAAAACTTATCTTCTTAATCCTCAACTCAGACAAGCCTTCTGTTCTACTTCTACCAAATACCTGTACTGTACTGTACAGGGTTATACTGGGTAGCTACCCGGGTATGTAAGCATATACCCGCCCTTTTATTTATTTATTTTTTTCAAAGTGGGTTTTTGGGATGTTGCCAAATTAGAATCAAAATATAACCCAAATTATTTACTAAATAGGTTTCAACTTTATTTTCTTTCCTTTAATATTCACTATCCTATATTTTTGTTTCATTTAGCAGACATTAATGCATAAGCTACTACTTTTCTCCAATGGGACAAAACACATTGCTCAAATTCCTCAAAACTCTTCCAGTAAATTAGCAAGTGCATGTCTTTTATAAAATTCTTTATTAGAAACAATCAATAAACTACATAAATTTTTGGAGACAATTATATTCAAGTTGTCAGCATAGAAAAATCTCCTCTGCCAGTACACAGTTAGCTCCTTCGAATACAATAAGCAAGACTCAAAGTACAGGTAGTAATTTTACACATTTTTTTTTTCTAAGTTGATGAAAATAAGAGGATATAATTATTTTATTCTGTAAAACTTTGTCTTATGTGCAATATTCATAGGAGCTGACGAGTCACAGAACATTGTAAATGAAGAACCGCCTCATTCATAAAGTAAAAACTATAGGAATAGAACCGGTTGTAATTATACCCCAAAATTGTGATGGAAACCAATGTTGTTGAACTTAAAATTTCAGTTCCACAAATGTGAGGAGCAATTATGAGCTGTGTGTGTGTTTCATTTAAGATGTTAGGAGACTTAGTATTACAAGAGCAGACCAGAGTGCAGGAAAGTTGTAGCTACAGCTCTTAATCATTAACCACACTACGGTAGCCTTTCATACCCCTGAGCCAGGCTGGATCATACCTTCTTAATCAATAGACTACAGTAAAGATTGTCAATATTAAAGGAAAACAACTTCTAGCAACAGTCACAGCCATATAAAAACCACGAAAAATATTCAATTAAAAAAAAAAAACATTTTGCCTAACACCTGGGAGGGTTGGGTTATTTGGGAGAGTAAAAATTTTAAAGTACAGTACTCCCAACCTTTATATCTATCACTTGTCTCCCAACCTTTATATCTATCACTTGTCTCCCAACCTTATATCCTTCACTTGTCTCCCAACAGATACTCTCTTTGGTCTTCAACTTTGTTTCACTGTGTCAGGTCATTCATTCATTCATCAATTATTTTTCTTCTTCGCCATTTTAATCATTGACATTCACACATTCACTTTTGGTCTCTCTATATAATTCTTAGTATAAAAGTAGTGTGGGGTTAAGAGGTGTATCCCTCACAGTCTGCTGATGCAACCTGTAATACTTGGTTACTTTACTTTACTCCTCTGTCTCCCTCACAGTCTGCTGATGCAACCTGTAATACTTGGTTACTTTACTTTACTCCTCTGTCTCCCTCACAGTCTGCTGATGCAACCTGTAATACTTGGTTACTTTACTTTACTCCTCTGTCTCCCTCACAGTCTGCTGATGCAACCTGTAATACTTGGTTACTTTACTTTACTCCTCTGTCTCCCTCACAGTCTGCTGATGCAACCTGTAATACTTGGTTACTTTACTTTACTCCTCTGTCTCCCTCACAGTCTGCTGATGCAACCTGTAATACTTGGTTACTTTACTTTACTCCTCTGTCTCCCTCACAGTCTGCTGATGCAACCTGTAATACTTGGTTACTTTACTTTACTCCTCTGTCTCCCTCACAGTCTGCTGATGCAACCTGTAATACTTGGTTACTTTACTTTACTCCTCTGTCTCCCTCACAGTCTGCTGATGCAACCTGTAATACTTGGTTACTTTACTTTACTCCTCTGTCTCCCTCACAGTCTGCTGATGCAACCTGTAATACTTGGTTACTTTACTTTACTCCTCTGTCTCCCTCACAGTCTGCTGATGCAACCTGTAATACTTGGTTACTTTACTTTACTCCTCTGTCTCCCTCACAGTCTGCTGATGCAACCTGTAATACTTGGTTACTTTACTTTACTCCTCTGTCTCCCTCACAGTCTGCTGATGCAACCTGTAATACTTGGTTACTTTACTTTACTCCTCTGTCTCCCTCACAGTCTGCTGATGCAACCTGTAATACTTGGTTACTTTACTTTACTCCTCTGTCTCCCTCACAGTCTGCTGATGCAACCTGTAATACTTGGTTACTTTACTTTACTCCTCTGTCCCCCTCACAGTCTGCTGATGCAACCTGTAATACTTGGTTACTTTACTTTACTCCTCTGTCTCCCTCACAGTCTGCTGATGCAACCTGTAATACTTGGTTACTTTACTTTACTCCTCTGTCTCCCTCACAGTCTGCTGATGCAACCTGTAATACTTGGTTACTTTACTTTACTCCTCTGTCTCCCTCACAGTCTGCTGATGCAACCTGTAATACTTGGTTACTTTACTTTACTCCTCTGTCTCCCTCACAGTCTGCTGATGCAACCTGTAATACTTGGTTACTTTACTTTACTCCTCTGTCTCCCTCACAGTCTGCTGATGCAACCTGTAATACTTGGTTACTTTACTTTACTCCTCTGTCTCCCACAGTCACAACCTGTCTTGCTTTACTTTACTCCTCTGTCTCCCTCACAGTCTGCTGATGCAACCTGTAATACTTGGTTACTTTACTTTACTCCTCTGTCTCCCTCACAGTCTGCTGATGCAACCTGTAATACTTGGTTACTTTACTTTACTCCTCTGTCTCCCTCACAGTCTGCTGATGCAACCTGTAATACTTGGTTACTTTACTTTACTCCTCTGTCCCCCTCACAGTCTGCTGATGCAACCTGTAATACTTGGTTACTTTACTTTACTCCTCTTGTCCTCACAGTCTGCTGATGCAACCTGTAATACTTGGTTACTTTTACTTTTACTCCTCTTGTCTCCCCTCACAGTCTGCTGATGCAACCTGTATTACTTGGTTACTTTACTTTACCTCTTATGTCTCCCCTCACAGTCTGCTGATGCAACCTGTAATACTTGGTTACTTTTACTTTACTCCTTGTCCCCCTACAGTCTGCTGATGCAACCTGTAATACTTGCTACTTTTACTTTACTCCTCTGTCTCCTTTCACAGTTCGTTGATGCAACCTGTATTACTTGGTTACTTTTTACTTACTCCTCTGTCTCCCTCACAGTCTGCTGATGCAAATCCTGTAATACTTAAGTTACTTTACTTTTACTCCTTCTGTCTCCTCACAGTCTGCTGATGCAACCTGTAATACTTGGTTACTTTTACTTTTACCTCTTCATGTTCCTCACAGTCTGCTGATGCAACCTGTAATACTTTGGTTACTTTTACTTTACTCCTCTTCAGCAACCTCAGCAGTCTGCTGATGCAACCTGTAATACTTGGTTACTTTTACTTTACTCCTCTCTGTCTCCCCTTGGCTGTCTGCTGATGCAACCTGTACTTTGGTTACTTTTACTCTTTTACCTCTGCCCCCTCACAGTCTGCTGATGCAAATCCTGTAACACTTGGTTACTTTACTTTACTCCTCTGTCTCCCTCAGTCTGGTTGATGCAACCTGTAATACTTCTTGGTTACTTTACTTTACTCTCTGTCTCCCTCACAGTCTGCTGATGCAACCTGTAATACTTGGTTACTTTTTACTTTTTTAATTCTCTGTTCCCTCACATTCGCTGATGCAACCTGTAATATACTTGGTTACTTTATTTTACTCCTCTGTCTCCTCACAGTATTCGCTGATGCAACCTGTAATACTGGCTACTTTACTTTTACTCCTCTGTCTCCCCTTCACAGGCTCTGGGCTGATGCAACCTGTAATACTTGGTTACTTTTTATTTTACTCCTCTGTCTCCTCACAGTCTGCTGATGCAACCTGTAATACTTGGTTACTTTTACTTTACTCCTCTGTCTCTACAGTCTGCTGATGCAACCTGTAATACTTGGTTACTTTATTTTTTACCTCTGTCTCCTCACAGTCTGCTGATGCAACCTGTAATACTTGGTTACTTTACTTTACCTCTCTGTCCCCTCACAGTCTGCTGATGCAACCTGTAATACTTGGTTACTTTTATTTTACTCTCTGTCTCCTCACAGTCTGCTGATGCAACCTGTAATACTTGGTTACTACTTTACCTCTGTCTCTCACAGTCTGGGTTGATGCAACCTGTAATACTTGGTTACTTTTACTTTACCCCTCTGTCTCCTCATTGTGCCTGCTGATGCAACCTGTAATACTTGGTTACTTTTACTTTACTCTTCATGTCTCCTCACAGTCTGCTGCTGATGCAACCTGTACACTTCTGGTTACTTTACTTTACCTCTGTCTCTCACAGTCTGTTGATGCAACCTGTAATACTTGGTTACTTTACTTTACTCCTCTGTCTCCTCACAGTCTGCTGATGCAACCTGTAATACTTGGTTACTTTTATTTTACTCCTCTGTCTCCCTCACAGTCTGCTGATGCAACCTGTAATACTTGGTTACTTTACTTACTCCTCTGTCCCCCTCACAGTCTGGGTTGATGCAACCTGTAATACTTGGTTACTTTACTTTACTCCTCTGTCTCCCTCACAGTCTGCTGATGCAACCTGTACACTTGGTTACTTTACTCTTTTTACTCCTCTGTCCCCCTCACAGTCTGCTGATGCAACCTGTAACACTTGGTTACTTTGCTCTTTACTCCTCTGTCCCTCACAGCCTGCTGATGCAACCTGTAATACTTGGTTACTTAATTTTTAGTCTCTCTGTCTCCCTCACAGTCTGCTGATGCAACCTGTAATACTTGGTTACTTTACTTTTTACCTCTGTCCCTCACAGTCTGCTGATGCAACCTGTAATACTTGGTTACTTTTACTTTACTCCTTCATGTCTCCCCTCACAGTCTGCTGATGCAACCTGTAATACTTGGTTACTTGACGATTCTCTGTCTCCTCACAGTCTGCTGATGCAACCTGTAATACTTGGTTACTTTTACTTTACTCCTCTGTCTCTCACAGCTCCTGCTGAGTAACCTGTAATACTTGGTTACTTTACTTTACCTTTCTGTCTCTCACAGTCTGCTGATGCAACCTTGTAATACTTGGTTACTTTTACTTTTACTCCTTCATTCCCCTCACAGTCTGTTGGATGCAACCTGTAATACTTGGTTACTTTACTTTACTCCTCTGTCTCTCTTGCTAGCCTGCTGATGCAACCTTGTAATACTTGGTTACTTTTACTTCTTTTTACTCCTCTGTCTCCCCACAGTCTGCTGATGCAACCTGTAATACTTGGTTACTTTTTACTTTACTCCTCTGTCTCCCTGCCACAGTCTGCTGATGCAACCTGTAATACTTGGTTACTTTACTTACCCTCTCTGTCTCCTCACAGTCTGGTTGATGCAACCTTGTAATACTTTGGTTACTTTTTATTTTACTCCTCTGTCTCCCTCACTGCTCCGCTGATGCAAACCTGTAATACTTGGTTACTTTTAATTTTACCTCTGTCTCCTCACATAGCCCGCTGATGCAAACCTGTAATACTTGGTTACTTTTATTTTACCTCTGTCTCCCTCACAGTCTGCTGATGCAACCTGTAATACTTGGTTACTTTCATTTTACTCCTTCTGTTCCCCTCATTAGTCTGCTGATGCAACCTGGTAATACTTGGTTACTTTACTTACTTTCTTGTCTCCCCTCACAGTCTGCTGATGCAACCTGTATTACTTGGTTACTTTACTTTACTCCTCCTCTGTTCCCTCATTAGCCCTGCTGATGCAACCTGTAATACTTGGTTACTTTTACTTTACTCCTCTGTCTCCTCAATAGTCTGGTTGGATGCAACCTGTAATACTTGGCTACTTTTACTTTACTCCTCTATGCCCCTCAATAGCCTGCTGATGCAACCTGTAATACTTGGTTACTTTTTACTTTTACTCCTCTGTCTCCCTCACAGTCTGCTGATGCAACCTGTAATACTTGGTTACTTTTATTTACTCCTCTGTCTCCCTCACTGGAGCTAATGAATCCTTACTACAGTACCCTGACGACCTCAAGCTTTGGGAGAAATTAATATACAGTACTGTACACAGGTAACAATAAGAGGGTCTGGAAGCAGCCCCAGGAGTGATGCCAATCATCATATTAAAATTATAGTTATCATCACTACTGTACAGAGGATCTCTATGTATACTTGTACAGAATTGAGCAGCTCAGTAATGGTACAATCATTTAATTACCATAAGGAATCGGGGAGTCGTCAAAATTTCTAAACATGCCGTATTTCTTTATATCAGATTCATTCTTCTTAACAAATTCTTTCATGCGCTTTTCTTTCTCTTCCTCGCTGAGGTCATCTGCGTTCCTCTGTCCTGGTTTGTTGATGATGGTTTTGCTGAATCCGTCACTACTGATGGTGTCCACATTCCAAGGCTCCAGCTGAAAAATGAATTACTTTGTTGTCAGTAATAATGAGAATGACACAAACAAAAACACTGTTTGGTATAACAGGTTTAGTCAGAGATCTGGGCAACTATTAACAAGTGGAAAATGTCACTAAAGGGTATACTGTATTACAATAATTGTAACCTTACTCTAAAACCTAACACTAATACCTGTATTAGGTTTACCACAGTCTGTTCACTCCAACTTAGCATATTAGTCCAAGGGTCTGCAGCCAGGCACAAGACTGGCTGATGGACGGATATGCATATAGGGTCAATCTATAGTTCTTAGTAGTTAATACAGTATATCTTAGTTATATTTTGATGATTCATGGGATAATAGTTGCCTTTTTCTCTGATAATTATTTCCTCACCTGGAGAAGCAGAAATTAGCATGTGGAATGATATGAACTGGTTTTATAAATAACAGAAAGGAAACATGAACATGATCAACAACACATGCAACCATCTCAGTGTCTGGGCACCGTAACTCCGGCACAAGTCACCAACAAAGGTAAAAGATGTCAAATACTTGCAAACACCTTATAAAGTGTCAAATTTCCCTGTCGTTATGTCAAGAAGACCTTCCAAGTACCGATAAAATAAAACAAACTAACATTAAGCCTGTTTACTAATAAAGAATACATTTAATCATTATTGCAAGAACATCAAATCATTTGGATTTCATTATTCAGAATTAATATTTGAGAGGCAGCTACCAAACAGGGAGGTACTAATGCCTGGGAAGATATTGGAAGCATAATGTGTTGTCTAATGGTAGACCCTGCTGCCATATGGCATTACGAAAATTGTGCCCAAGTCCCAAGCTGTTGATCTATCTTTCTGCCTCATTTACACACAAATGCAGGGTCTTAACTGTCTCTCTTACTATTGACAACACCATAAATAAAACCGTACTCATTCTTGATCTGTTTAATTCATTCTATTTTATTCTCCTAGGTCAGTTGATATTAATACTGAAGCGGGACCTTCTCGGATGGGTCCCACCGGTCGGGAAGGTTGTGGACCCCAGGCCCGACCTCATCATCATCAAGCTACTGGGGCCTCAACTGACGCCACCGCGGTTGCTGGAGGATCTGCTTTTTTCACACTTCATTTTTCCAACATTCGCGGCCTGAGATCAATTTTCCTTCTGTGGAGCACCATCTATTAACCTCTTCCCTGACCTCTTACTACCATCTGAAATTCAATTGACCAAGCAGCTTCACCCAAACCTTTTCAGTCTCAACTACAACCTTTATACAGTCAACCCTCGCTTTACGGTCCCACTTTAGCGTTTCACGTTCGCACGGTACCCTGCTGCACCGACCGAATGCTCACTTTCGCGGTTATTGCCCCTTCGCGGGCTGGCGGCTGCGCCATTTTGGATCAAACCCTCCGCCATGTTGAGTAGCGGTAGCGAGTGGGTCTGCAGTGTGTGTCTTTGTTGCGTTATCAGTGACGTCATATGACGTATCGGACTGTGTTTGGACCATGCATCCTTGCCTCCCTCAGCTGCCAGCTGTAGTGGTTTAAAGTAACTTATGTTACTTGTATATTATTTGTAATTCGAAACCCATTCCCCAAATATGTAACTGTATATTTTCAGCCTTCTGGCTGCCGAGCTCTTTCAATAAACCGTTAATTATTATTATTATTATTATTATTAAAGAGCGGCCCAACTGCGCCTGCGAAGTTTGTCCCTCCAGGCACACCACGATATATAAGTGATCCGACCAATTTCTGTAAAATGATAGCGAGTTCAAGAGAGAAACCTTCGCCCACCTGGACCCCCGGCAGCCCCTAAGCCAAGAACCGTTTCTTAAGCTCTGAGGGTAGGTATAAAGATCATGCAGAAGGTTGGGAACAGGCGGGGTTGATGCAGCATGGTGTTGCGCAGTCTGATCAGGACAATAAAGAAGGATGCAGCCAAGATAAAAGGCACATGAACATCACAAAGTCACAGGTGCTTCGCCGTCAAGTATTGCCCACCGCCAGATTCTTCTCAAGACAGAAAAGACTACTTGTGAGCTGCTTAGGGAATTTCGTCGAGGCGTGACCAGGTTTTGTGGCGATTGGTGCTGGCGAATTGGAAATGTGCCGCGTGGGAGCTGTATGCTCCGGTATGCGAAGATGGGATCCACAGAGCCCAAACGCGTTTAAATGCGCTTCCTCTGGGTAAGTTTACAGAGTTCGAAGAAAACAAGATCACCAATATCAACATTGGTGGTGAAGAACGCTGACCGTGTTAGCGACTGAGGTACTATCACGTTTGGTGAGGATTATGGAGGAAGGAAGTACACCGGCGACCAGGTGTTTAGCATGGGCGAATCTGGATAACTTTGGAAAAGAGCACCTTCCAAGGAACCCAGCCGTTGTGAGAATGCACCAGCAGTGTGGGCCGGGAAGTTGCAGAAGAGCATCTTCGTCCTGTTTACCGCCATGCCTCGGTATGCTAAGCTCCGGTGCTCGGTGATCCCGCACCAACCCGCCAAGCCGCCGCCTGCGGGTTATGATAGCTTCGGATTCCACTGGCTGACGCTGCGTAAAGCGTGGATGTTCTCACTGTCCCTCCTGGTATTCTGTGGCAACAGAATGCGTGATAGGGCCGCTGTGCTTAACGGACCAGCGCACCAGGACACTGGCCCCTGTTTCGAATCATCACCCCCAGCGTAAAAGTGGTCTTCCTTCCTCCCCAAACACCCTCGTATATTACAGCCCATGGACCAAGAGTTAATCATATGCTAGAAGCTGCATTCTCTACTAAAAATTCAAGCTCCTGAGCAGTTACCCAAGCGCCAGGAAAGAGTTAGCGTAACCTGATGACTTAACGCGGTAAGGCGGCGGCGAGGATAACAGTTGGCAGAGCAAGAGGTACTTTTAAAGCTAATTCTGGGTATTCAGCGTCAAAGCTTTTGACTGCTTTGGTGGAGGCATGGGATAAGTATGCTTAGCAACTGTTAAAATGGCAAAGCTGAACGTATGTTACCAAGGCGTTCGGGGGCGTTAGGCAGGAAACGAATCACCAGCGACTGGGGCGGGGGTTCGACTGTTGCGTGGCGTGGACCCAGCTTGCCAGAAGGCTGGCAGTGTTACAGCTGCAGGCTTTCTCAGACCACCAGCGACGACTGTCTGGGAGGTGATGAGATCACTGGAAGTGTCTTGACTACCGGCGACGCCGGTAGATGATGATGGCGGCGTCAGTGAAGGCGTGATGCGTCATCCCAAGAAGAGCACGCCCAGCATACATAGCCAGCCAATGTGGGGTTATACCATCGACTATATGTCCAGAAGAGCCGAAACCATACGCTTTCCGGCGACCCTGACACAAACGGTACATGAAATCTTCACTACCCCAGCTGTTATTTGCGGAGCTATATGGAGCCCTACATGGGTTTATGCGACGGCATAAAAGCATAGCCGTCAGCAAAAGCATAACAGAGTTCTTAGCCCGCAAACCCCTGCAACCAGCTGGTGGTGGTGAGAGCGAGACAGTGATGATGACTTTGAGGATTTGTCAGAGGAAGGCATTCGGTAAAGTAATGGATGACACCGATGAAGACTGCACCCTGAGGCCGTGACGCCCGCCACTCTACCGGAAGCAGCCTCCATTCCGTATGCGGGATCTTCTACTAGCGTAAGTGTTAACCCCAACCACAACCTAACCTTCAGTTTATTTATTGCTCTTGTTGACTGTTCATACTTATATTGTATTATTGGGTGAATACCATCCATAAAGTTAAGAGGATTTATTTTTAAGACGAAAGCGTCTTGTGTGTGTCAGGAAAGTGGGGATTTGGGGGTGCGACCCGATACTCTATTCAATTAATTCCCATATGTTATATTGTTCCGCTGGCGTTTCTCTCGCAGGGCGCGTGGGTTGGATAACAGCGTAGAAGCGTAAAGTGAGGGTTCACTATACCTCTTTCCGTTCTAAGAGTGTGTCGCCTACTACAACACCACGTACACCCATAGCTCGACTCACAGATCTTAAAACTTCCCTTTATGATGTCATCTGGCTCAAAATATCTCTACCAACTGTGACTATTTTTCTGTTTCCTATACTGTTCCCCATCTACCAACTTCTTTCAAACTCTTTGACTATCTCACTTCTTGCCATGAGTGGTTGCTATCCACACCCCCAACACCAAGATCCTCTACTTGGGGGTTCAATGTACATCACAGACAGTGGCTTGGCTCTGCAAGGGATGACCCAGGTGGAGCAGGCACTCTCTTTCCACTAATTAGTTTGGGATCAAATAATTAAACACCCTACTACAGCGTTCTGATGGACACGATCAACTTACTAACATTCTTGATCTTTGTTTTACCTCTAACCCTCACTATTCACTCAATTTTTGCCCCTTAGGGTCTTCTGATCACAACCTTATTTCTATTAAATCAAACTGGGCACGACCACCTCCCCACCCCCCCTCTAGCGTCAACTATGGCACTCTTGGAGGGCAAGCTGGCAATCCTTCAGAGAATTGCCGCCCGACTTTCCTTGGGATAAATGTTGCTTTTCCCTCGGGCGCCTCGGTATGTGCTGACAGCATTGCTGGGGTCATACAGGGCAGTATAGTGCATTTATCCCATCTTCTCCAAAACTTTCACATTACAATCATGGGGACGCCAGTGGGTAGAGCAGTACGCTCTTGCCTCATAAGCGAGATGTCAGGTTCGATTCCCAGGCGGTGGAAAGTTGTTGGACACACTTCCCAGCCTCCCTTGGTCCTGTTCACCTAGCAGCAATGTAAGTTACCTGCTTAATGAAAGTTGGTCGCATTCAGGGACAAGTTGTTGGCTTTAACTTGATGACATAAACCATTGACTCTTCAGGCTTCTATGCCCTTAACTCATGAGACATAAAGGCAAGCATGAACTCGCATGCTTCCTGTTGGGCACTATAAACGCTTCTCGCTTCACCCCCTAGCGATGTAAGGGGCCAATAAAAAAATTACAATCATGATTTGATCGCTCCTGCTCTCTTGCAGG